CAAGATAATGCTAAGGAAAATCTTATTAAAATATTTGGCATCTTTGTGTCTGTTTTGGAAACTGGAATATAAACATGATTCAGGAATCTTAATAAGATTTTATTCTCTGAAACATTGGGTAGATAGTTCACTGCTTTAAAAAAAAAAAAGTAATGAACGAAAATGCTAGATTTTTGTAAGTCCCCCTGCAGGCTTAAATTTCAGGTAATATTGGTAGTTAACCTACTTTTATGGTTAATCTGTTACTCATGTGGTAACTGCCGATATGTTTAGAGAGTTCTTTCCCACAAATATTAGAACTTAATGCCTACTGTAGGTGTTTGGGAGTATTTAAGGTAGGTAGGTAGCTTTCAGGTATGTCTGTCCTTAAAAGTTTTCTGGTTTTCTTTTTTAAGTGATCTGGAAGACCTGTCTGTGCCAGACCTTCAGCCTGGTTTAAGCAACTTCACTTTGGGATCGTTGAATCTGTTCAACTTCATAGTCTTAAAAGAAGTATGCAGCATTCAGGGCAAACATTGTGGGGTGGACTTTCCTGTCACTATTCCATACGTTTTGGGTTTTTCTTCTTGTATACTACTGAGGGCTGGGCTGTGAAGCCAGGCTGCATGAGTCCTAGTAATATTTTCTTTCTTTCCATCGTTCATCTTGATTTTGTGAGCAGGCACCTCTTTCAAAGCACTGCCAAGCAGCAGTGAAAGACACTGCTGAGCAATACAAGTCCAATTATTAATGGTTTATGTTTGTTAGTTAATGAAATTGGGGTGCTTCTTGCACTGTGCTCTTTTGCAGTGGATAGGGACAGGGTAACTGAACTGAGCAGTCACTTGTGTGGTAATTCTGGTTAACACAGCTTGTACAAGAGGGTGCTGAGCCCTGACCAGGGGACAGGGCAGCACCAAATCACGAAGGTCAGAGTAGGTCCTGCTGTGGGGCTCTTGTCGGGGAGGAGAGTGATGCTAGGAAGAAGATGCTATAGCCCAGCACACGAAGCTTGCCAATAATCATGCTGTTACGGGTTGAGTGAAGAGAATTTTATTTGTCAGGGAATCCATGCATCATATATATATAAATATATAAATGCATCCATTTGTGAGGAAATCCATGCATCATATATATGTATGTGTGTATATATATATTTCCTGTAAGAGAAGAGATGCAGGAAATATGAAAGAAGGTAAATGATAACCCAAAAGTCAATATTTTGAATTTGATAATATGGCCACAAATTCTGAGCCATTGTAAATGTCTGTGTCTTATTAGACCTGTGCCATGTGTCAGTAACCCTTTCAAAATGACTGCGTATTTGTCTGATATGTGTTTTCTAGTTGTACCTGTCCTGTTTATTGACAGAAACAAGCATTTACAATTGTTAATGTTGCAGGTCAGCGTAGCTGTGAAAAAGGGAAATTTGTGCTGTCAGGCTCATGTGTCACCAATAAAACTGAAAGCTAAGTTAAAATTCTTGACCATAAATATGTTTTGGTGATGTTTTATGGACAGGAAAAGTAGTTTTTAATCCCTATATGAATATTCTGTTATTAACTTACAGAAATGATCTAGTTGATAATTTCTGTCAAAAATTATTATTCAAACAAAACCAGCCCTGTGAATATTTTAATTATTCTTAGAACAAAGGTCTAATAAACTTACGAAATGCAGTTTTGGAGTAAATTTAAGGAAGGTAAAACTTTGCTGAAGGTCTAGAAATGTGTTTTTAAAGTCAAGGAAAATCTGGAATGCTTTATAAGGATTGCAAGGTAAGAAATTGAAAATATCAATCTCTATACAAGTCAGTTAATTTAATCTGGGATTTCAAGCAGCTTGACTGTTGAAGTGCATGGGGTTCACGTTGTATGGGTACTTTAGCTCAATAATTTTTAAACCATAATACATTTAGTTCTTAAACTTCACCTTGACTCTGAACCCTTTAAGTTCATTTATTCCAGGGAATAGATATCATTGCTGCAATGCTTTTTCCCTTAAGTGTTTTTAATATACACTTGATATAGATTCTCAGCTTTGTTTCCAATTTAAGATAATGTTCTTGTGTGAGTTCTTTTTAAGCTTTAAATAGAACTCTAGAGAACAAATTGTGTTACTGATAATGAATTTGAGAAATTTAGCATTGATCTTAAATTTCTTTTTTATTTTATGGTTTTGTATCAGATAAAGCAGTGTACTTCTGGCTGCTTTGTGCTATAATGGAGCGAATACAAAGCAGCTGGAATATTTCAGGTATGCAAAGAAGGTTTAAAGCCTGAGCATGTTGCCAGTGCAGACCAGCTGTTGTGCAGCTGTGAACCTTGCTCTTAGATTTTCCGTGTGTGGCCCAGACCTCTTGCACAGCTGGGATGAGTTGAAGACCATCAAGAATTTCATTCACATATTGATGGGGACCTTCACATCACTGATCTTATGAGCATTAGAACTGCCACACACAAAGCAGCCAGTATGTGCCAGGTAGTAATGTCAGTGATGTGCTGCCTATGCTTTTTTAAGATACCACTGCTGTTGAGCTGTCTGCTAGTTAACAATAACAACAACTCAGACTTGCATTAAGTGCTAGAGATAGTGAAAATGCCTTTTTTCCCTTTTTTCCTTCAACTTGTTTGTTATAACTTTATATCTGAAAACTCTGAACGCTTCATCATCATATTCAAAACATTAAATATATTGATTGTTTTGTGTCCCAAGAAGGTGGTAGTTTGGGTCACTAAATCTTTATCCATCATGCACAGCCAAAGGATTTTGAATTTCACCAATGCACAGACAGCTGTGATCTTCGTAATCAGTTTGTGTGGGTGTCAGCATTCAGCTCTCCACAGAAATTTGTCATAAAAGAAATGAGAAATTGAATGAGATGGGAATTAAACCAGAAAGTTGGCTGTATAAATGATTTAGCAGTAATCTAATGTGTAGCTAACTGGCTAGTATCCAAATTGTGCTTTTGATTGTTTGTTTTCCTCTGGGGAAGAATGTTACTGAATATTAGATGACTACTTCCCTGAAGGAAAATACTATAGGCCTCATGTCTAGGTATTCTGTTGTACCATCAGTTTTTATCTTGTATAGCACAACTGTTTCTTATATCATGCATGTGGATGATGATATTAAAACCAAAAATGGTGTATTGCAGCAGCGAAATGCTGGCCATGTGTAAGCCAGCAGGAGTTTTGCAATTTACATTGCTAGTGCCAGAATTTTACCCTAGGTTGTTACATATTTGATGAATTTTTTAATGTTGAACTTTAGGTCATCATCTGCCATATGCCCATTAGTCAGCAGAATGCAAAAGAGATGCTTTGACGCTGGTGCTGGGGGAAGGCAGATGATTTAGGTGTTCATAGGCTTGTATTGCTGGAGTCAGATTGAAAATTTAGGCTCTACAGGAAGTGTGATGAAGATTCTGAAATGATATTTAATATCTAAAGTACTGCAAACAAATTGCAAGGTAGTTAGAAAAAGCAAAACAGTGGAAAGGAAGGAGACATAACAATAGCATTTTATAACTTCTTACTCTACCAAATTATCCAATTTTCACTTTCCCTTCTTTGGGACTAGATTTTTAGTATCAACTGACAGTCAGAGGGAAATCTCTCCCAAGTCAGAGCATCTTCTTGGAGGAGTGAGCTCCCATCAATTTCGGTGAAGGTATTGCCCTCTGCTTTTTATAAAGTTTTGCTTCTGATGGTTATTGGTCAAATTCTGTTTTACTTGGCATAATACTATTTAGAATACTGATATGAACCATCTTGTTTTATTTACAAGTCTGAGCAATCAGAGTTGTTTAAACGATCATCTTCTCCCGTGTGCGTTCCACCCTGCCACCAAATCCTGGTATTTAAAAACTTGAGTCATATCTGGGCTTTATTTGGGTTTTGGGTTTTCTGTGTACACTCGGGTATATTTAAAAAAAAAAAAAAAGGGAAAAAAGAAAAAAGTTTTCTTCCATTATTGTGAAACTTACTACTAGTATCTTTTTTTTTTTTTTTTTTTTTTTTTTTTTAATGATGATCAGTGATTCTTGTCACTGTCAAAACACTATATGCTTCTGAGGAAACAGGCCAAGCATCATGAGACTCAGCATAAAGTTATGAGCTCTCAGTGCTGGTAGTTGTCAGTCTGAGTTTCAGGGTGCCTGAACTTGTTACTGCCAATCCTGTATTTTGTACTCTAGGACTGTGACTTACGGTAACTCTGTAAGAATAGCCAGTCTGATTCACATCTCACCTGTGTAAGATTACTGTGTTTTGTGCCATATCCTGGGGTTGCAGTGAGCCAGCACACCACCAAAATTTCTTTTTTGGCACTCAGGCAACTGAAGCACTCCAGGGTGAGGTCTTTGTCCTGTGGGTTTAAAACAGAAATGTACCTTCAGTGTTATGCCAGGTGGAGTTCCAGCCTAGTTGTGCCTCAGCTGTGTCAGGAGAGATCGTCTTGGGAGTGTTGCAGGTGGTACAGTCTACATCGTATGGGCTGTCTGTGAAGCTGTCAGGGTGAGCTGCAAAGATGACCATTGTTTGCAGTTCTTTGGGAGGAGCAAGTGAAGAATGCATGTCAGGATGCATGTCAGGAAGAATGCATGTCCAGTACTGACTTTTTTTTTTTTTTCCCAAAGATGAAATCTTGTCACTGTGGTAAGCATTCATCACTTGTGTCAGTAAGTTCTGATTTTTCATACAGCGTAAGTCCATATTTGTTTTTTGTAGACGTCAGTGCCCACAGTCCAAAGAGATCTTGGAAGTGGAAATACAGGTGCTTAGTTATGCTTTTGTATTAGGATAATAGTAGTGTTTTGTGCGTGCCTGGAGTCAAACTGCATGTGCTTCCATGTCCTACACCTGTTACAGAATCAGGTGTTGTATATCCCATCAAACAACAGTGCTTGCTTCAGTTCTTTGAATAATTTCTGTTGGGAAGTAATCAGTATCAACAGATGTTAAAAGTATTTCAAGAGTTGTTTAAGGTATTAATTTGGTGTGGTGTTTTTGTTTTTTTAGGTGGCCTGGCTTTAGCTCAAGTATTATTTTTTTATGTGAAGTACCTGGTTCTGTATGGTGTTCCTTCCCTCCTCCTTCGAATGGATGGACTCAAACCTCCAGCTCTTCCTCGCTGTGTGAGCCTGATGCACAGTTTCACTAAAATGTGGAGGTTAGTCATTATTGCTTTTTTTAAAAAAATATTATTGATATATGACAGTAAATGCATAAAAATGTACATGTGTGTTTTCACAATCACGTACATGCCTGCCCATTTGTAGGCTGTACCCCAGACTTCTAGAAACATTACCTCAAACAACTTAGACTTGTCGGCTTTTCAGCACAGAGGCTTCTCTCTTCCATTGTGTTAGCACAGAGCCTAGCACAACGGGGCTTTCCCTGTTTGGTCTCTGACTGCTTTGTGATATGACTAAAATTTTCATTTTAGTCATAAAAACAGTGGGTCTGTTATTATCAGAGCTTTATTGGATGAGATTTTCATTTTGTTTCCTGCTTGAAGCTAGTTGTAATAGGCAAGCTTTATGGCTTGTAATAGTTTGCTACTATTGATATCAAGTATTCAAAGAAATGCAGCATAAATAGGGTGGATAAAACAGATGAAGTGTTAAAAAAATTATTTGAGCTACTACAAATCCCTTGGTTTAAATTGTCTTTCAGAAAGGATTTGAACTGAACTTCTGACCTACAGAGTTAATTTAGAAATCTCTGTTTTTTACTGGGCAGTCTCCTGAGAGCTGCATCTCTTGGCCTGCTGGCCTTTGCAAGCAGAGCTTCAAACAGCACCATTTTTTTTCTTTCTCTCCCGGATATTATACCAGGGGATCTGAACATTGCTCTGGAGGTGTCAAATGAATCTGAACTTTAGCACAAATTCTAATGATGCTGCTGTGTCAGGTAATTGTAACAGACAATGCAAAAAGTACTCTGTACACCCATTTTTGTCTGCAAAGATGGGTGTGGTATATCACAGTAAAACCATCTGGCGTTCTTTTACAAAATATTCATAACACTTTCTTATAACAAAATTGAAACTGGTATCTAAACAGATAAAGTTTAATTATCATTTTACAGAAGGAAAAAAACATAAACTGCTATTTACCACTTGCCCAGATACTTCGTTCATGTAAGTAGCAAACAATCGCTGTCAGAAATAATAAAATGATTTCACAGATGGGATTTGTTTGTTTACTCTGTAGGTTGAAAAATCAGTTCATGTACAGCTGATTTGATTTCTTGCTCTGAAAGCCATGTGGATAGTAGCAATTCCTATGGCTGCTAGTGAAATATGGAGCATTCTCAGTTATCTAAGAAATCTCACATAGTTTGCCCCGTGAATCCCTGAATTATGATGCCTTTGTGTCTTTACAGTTAAACCCATGAATCACTACTACCCAGAGGCTTGCAGTCTTTTTGTGTTTTGTTGTGCTGTATAGGAACATCAGTTTTTAGAAATGGGAATAGCCTTTGTTTCCAAACTGTGTGACTGGACAGAACTGGCCTAGACCAGCAAGTGCTGAAGTGATGAGCTTTGCATAAAAGCTAGGAAAAAATGGCAAAAGCAAGTAACTTGTGTTGTGAAGCCTCATGAGCAGTGCTGCTGTTTCCCTGAAGTGCCAAATATTTTTTTGGTAGTTTTCTGAATACGTGGATTTTTAAATTAATATTTCTAACAACTTCACGAAATGGGAAGTGGAGTGGAGTGGAACAACCCAAGTTACATGATGGAGTGCACTGTCACATGCCTGGCACCTGTGGGGCTGCTTGTGGTTGCTTGGCTTGCTCTTATCCTTTTACCTGGCATAGTGGAGAAGCCACTGTAGGCTACTCTCAGACACAGGGTATTATGCTAGGTAGGCCTTCAAAAGACCCAGTATTGATATTTAAATGCCTCAAAGTTATTAGCAGTGCAGATTATGAAGTAGATAAGACAGCCTGAAGAGAAAGACAACGTGCATGTCACAATGTAAGGAATACAAATACGCTAGTGAAGAGTTTTGCACCACCACCTGGTGTCCTTTGAGTGTACTAATAAAAGATTTTGATGTGACAAATCCAAACCAGTGTAACTTATAATCAGTGTACGCTGACATGTTTCACTATGTAATATAGCAGGTGGAAGAGCTTTCAATCAAGGTAAGAAAAATACCACAGCTTGTTGTCTAAAATTTCTCTGGAGCTGAAAAGCAAAGCAGGTATTAGAAAAACAAATCAGGTACTCTGCTTCTCCATTTATGATACTAAACACTTAACCAAATTGTGTCCATTCAGACTTATAAATAGGGGCTGTAATTAAAAAGAAATTATCTATTTTATAGTAGATTCTGCCTAATCTGCATTTTCTTTGACTTGGGAGGCTGTCTTGATTAAAAAATTAGCAATCTTGTTTCTAGTCTCATGGCTAATACAGGTGTAGAATGTGTTACTATGGTTTCATTTCTCCAGGATATCATCATCTTGGTAAATATGCAGTTGCATAGATAATAAATGCATGATAAAGTTACTGCTATTCAAAAGTTTGACTATAATTGTGAGAAGGAGGTTCTGAGCTCCTGATTGCCAGATAGGGCAGCAGTTCAGTGGTACACCAACTTAGTTTTTAGTGTCTGCTTTATCCTATTCAAATCAGGAGGAATTAAAACTTGTTGTTACCAAGGGTTAAAGTGAGGTTTTGGAGGTCATGAGAAGAAACGCCATTGTTGGAAGCTTATAAGTGCTTTTAAAAATTGATCAAGGCCATTGTTTACTAAGCAGCTTCTCACCCTGGTAGCCAAGTGTAGTACAACAGAGAAAAAGATGTGCTACTGTTAGAGCATTGCTGAAAATTGCAAATTACTTCAATATGGAGAATACCCTAGTGGAGAAGTAAGGGTGTGGATACTAGAGAAGCAATAATAACATACAACTAAAACCCATGTCAATTTTGACTTATGAGTGAATGACTTTGGCAATGTATTACACAAAGAAACTTGTCAGTTCATAGTTTAGGCATTTAGCCCAGATGCCATTCATGGGGAGAAAGAGAAAAAGGAAGAAGAAAAAAAAAAAGCTGTCATTTTTGTTTTTCCATGCTATGTTACTGACTGTGTTGAGTGCTTTTCTGCAAAGACATTGGACACGTTGATCAGATACGTTTTGACATGCCATGGGGCGGGAATATCATGGCATAAATATCCTGTTATCTCTGGTAAGAGACTGATTAGGAGGTTTGTAGAAGCACAGCTCCTCCTCTTCTCATGCCTGTCCACCTTAAAATTTGCACATTCCCAAAAGCCTTATCTCAAAATAGGTGCTACAAATGATATAGCAGTCAGCTGCAAGAGAATCGGGTATTTTGAGGTGATTTGCTTTGTATCTATCCTATATTTGTGGACAGCTATTATTTGAAAGCTCTCTATTCCATGCCCTCTGATGGGACTTAAGTAGCAGCTGACACTGAGAAGCAAGAAAAGTAAAGATAGGCTTGTGCATCTTTGCCTTTTTCTGTGGAGATTAGGACTGTCATTCCTGGTCTATGTCCAGCCTTTGATTTTAAAAGTTTTCCAGTGTGTTTCAGAGACTCTGAGGTAAAACAAAAATGTATCTTAATGATCTAGCTTCTCACAGGTTTTCATTTTAAAAAATGTTAATATCACACCATTTCTGTTTAAGCATCAAAAGACATTTTTCCCCACCCCATATTTTCAAAGGTGATCTCGTAAGTATGGAAGAGGATTACTTGAAAAGGATAGTTAGATTAAATAGAATTACACCTGCAGTGTTGAAATGGCTTGGTACTTGTGAGTAAAGGGAAATTATATTGAAATCTGTGAACAGAATAAATGGTATCACTAAAGTGTGCAGAAGCAGAAATACCTCAGTGACTGTAAGCCATATTAAACCTTCTTTTGCTAATTTTAACCCTAGAAAGGCAGATAGATCTGTTATGTTTATCCTCTTTGGACAAATATGATGAATTGGAGAATTAGAGAATAGGTGGTACGGTGCTTATAGCTATACCTGAGTAAGAAGGTAGACAGTGGAGTGTTGATTGACATTCTTGTTTATTTTTTCATAGAGAAGGGATATAAATACTGGGTATAATTTTGACCTTGCTGAAATCACCGTCAAACCTGTGATTGGATTTAGTGATGCCAGGGTTTCATTTTAACATCTCTGCTGGGACTGGACTGAAATGGACTTGCTGAGTTAAGCAAATCCATAAGTACTGCTAGTGCCAGTGGAACATAAGAATATGCAAAGTGTAAAGCAAAAGCTTGAGATGCCTTTCATAAGAATGATGATTAGCACTTGCTTCATTTTTTTTTTTTTTTTAAAGAACTGAGTCCTAAAAAAATAAAGGTCTCTCACAAGTGTACCCTAGTTGTCACTGAAAGTAGCCAGTAGTGACACAGCTATTTGTAACTGCCTGTTCAGTTAAGAAGATTGGTGTATATAACACTCAACTACAAGCTTAATAAACATCCTAGATGTGGCTGGAGTGGTCAGTTTTTATTTAACTAGCTGAAATTAGTGAAAACATTTTTTAACTGTCTTGTTCTAAGGCTATTTGTGGGAGGTTACATGACAACATTTAACCAGTTATGTGTGAAATAGAAAATAAAAATGACTGAAATGATCGTTAGATTTGGGAAGACTCATTTTTGAATCAGGAATTGTAGCAAACACAACATGTTTTAGTAAATGTAGTACATCAGGTTGTATGATGAAAGCATTTTAATTATGAGGATTTTATATACAGAAAATACAAATTCTCAGATAATATTCTATTCATATTATGCATTCATTTAATATATTTTGTTAATTATAATATACCATACCTTAACACGTACTTTTACTGCTTGCTTAGAAGGTCAAATTTCAGTAGCACTCAAAAATTTATTGTAACCAATTATGTGCTCACACCTTGGTTTCTGTAGATGAGTTACAGTTGAGTTTGCATTAGCTTAATGCAAATCTTTATGTGAATGTTACTTAATATTTTTGTACTATTTTTTTCTGACATCCACTGTTGGATTGCATCATGCATGTATGGTGTGATATAAACATAACCTTCAAATATTAAACCTGCTTGCCAATATCAGAATTGTTAAGCTGCCTGCCCAGCTGCTGAGTATTTAATTCCAGAATTGTTAGACTTTTTTGGTATTGAAA